CTGAAGAAGGAAATGGCAACCCACTCCAGTATTCTTGCCTGGACAATTCCATGGGCAGAGGAGCCTGGTGGGTTACAGTCCAGAGGGTCACAAAGAGTTGGACACAACTGAAATGACTGAGCACACACATGCACTTTTATACAGTCCTATCAGTAGGAATTAGGGTTGGCTACTAGTGACAGAGAATCAAGAATAACTGAGGTATAAAAATGATTGACATTTATTTTTCTCATTCTGGCTAGAAGATGTCTCCTTTCAGATATTACACTGAAGGTCCCTGCAAGGGTGAGATGGTGGTTTTGAAGCTTCTGGAATCAATCCATATCCTTTAGAGGAGAAAATGAACCCAGGGTGGGATTCACTGAGGAGGGTGATCAACTGTTCTGATTTGCTGCAACCAGTCTCTTTTAGCACTGAAAATCCCACATCCTGGGAAAACTCTGGACTGGGACCAGTTTGTTACAGGTCACTGGGAGCCTCTTCTCAGCAAAGGGAGGAACACAAGTCTGGCCAGGTGACTTCATCAAAGTTCTGCCAGCCACGGGGAGTGGCCCCCTGACCTGTCCTGGCCCAGGGCTGATGACAGCTCTGATCAACTCATCCAGGCACTGGACCCCCGCATGTGGTCCTTCCTCCCTCATCACCTGCCCTTGTTCCACAAACGCTTGTCAAACATTCATTCTAGGTCCATTTCTCCATCAGCCTGGAAGAACGTCATTGTTGAGCCATCAAGAAGAAAAACTACCATGTCCAGTTTTTTGACAAAACCTCAGGTGAGTGGCCTTCTGGCTAAGGGTCTGTGATTTCATCTTGTTGGAGCGTTCATTGTCCCCCTGGGAGTTGCAGCTTTCTATAAGTTTTCTGTGGCTGAACCAAGAAAGAAGGCATGTGCAGATTTCTAACGAAATTATGATTCCATGAAAGATTTTGAGGAGAAGAGGAAGGCTGGTATCTTTCAAAGTGATTTAAAACATAAATAATTTCTTCGGGTTGAGTTCCATGAAACTGTGTCACTTACCTGTGTTCCTGAACTATGAAACTATGAGTATCTGGGTTGAGGAATAGTCTCTCAAGAAATAAATGATTAACAAATACTGTGGACACTAAAAAAAAAAAATTCATTCTAAGGAAGGCAACATCCAAAGATTCTGGTTCACCAGGGACAGGATTTGTCATATGTTTGGCAAAGTTTTCTTTTCCTCCCTCTTCTATGGAAATTTAGGTCACCGTTACCTGAAGAAGAGGAAAAGGCCATGACAAAACCCCAAGTCCTCACTGGACTTAGTATTTGCAAAATAGTGTGAATGAATATGAAGTCATTTAGAAAGTGTTTCACCACACACTAAGATTAAAAAAAAATTTAGCTCCACAGAACAAAGTGAACAGTATAATCCTAGTCTATAAAAATATATGAATATTTCTTTCTTTGCTTAATATATTGATAGGGAAAAAAGGCTGGAAAAATATGCACCAAAATGTAAACGGTTATTAACTCCAAGTGGTAGAACCAGGGTGAAGCACTTGTGATAGAGATGAGGAGACCTTTTCAAAAGCTACTACGAACCACTAGAGACTGTTGTACAGAGAGAAGTCAGTCAGATAGAGAAAGACAAATATCATACATTAATGCATATATGTAGAATCTAGAAAAATGGCACAGATGAACCCATCTGCAGGGCAGGAATAGAGACACAGACATAGAGAACAAGCATGTGGGCCCATGAGGGGAGGAGAGGGTCGGACAAATTGGGTGATTATGACTGATGTATATACACTGAAAGTGACAGTGTTAGTTGATCAGTCATGTCTGACTCTTTGCAGCCCTCTGTCCATAGAGGCTGCCAGGCTGCCAGGCTCCTCTGTCCATAGAGTTCTCCAGGCAAGAACACTGGAATGGGTCGCTGTCCCCTTCTTCAAGCGATCTTCCCAACTCAGGGATCAACCTGAGTCTCCTGCATTGCAGGCGGATTCTTTACCATCTGAGCCACCAGGGAATCCATATATTCACTGTGCTGTGCTGTGCTTAGATGCTCAGTCGTGTCCGACTCTTTGACTCACCCTGGACTGTAGCCCGCCAGGCTCCTCTGTCCGTGGGGATTCTCCGGCAAGAATACTGCAATGGGTAGTCTTTCCCTTCTCCAGGGGATTTTCCCAACCCAGGGATCAAACTCAGGTCTCCCGCATTGCAGGCGGAATCTTTACTGTCTGAGCCAGCAGGGAAGCGCATACACTGCAAGGTGCCAATAGCTGGCTGGCGGAAACCTGCGGTACAGCACGGGGAGCCCAGCCCGGTGCTCTGTGATGACTTGGGGGAGTGGGATGGGGGTGGGAAGAAGGCTCAAGAAGGGAGGAGATATATGTATTCTCACAGCTGATTCACTTTGTTGCGCAGCAGAAACTATCACAATACTGTAAAGCAATTATAAAAAAGAAAAAGAAAAACCGCCATGAAGGCAGAATGTGAGGACTTGGCGGCGGATTTGCTGCAGAGGGTGAGGAAGGGGGTGCAGCCGAAGATGACAGGAGCCTGGATGGATGGGAAACAGCGGTGCAGCTGAGAAGAACAAGGAAGTCAGAGGGAGGGGAATTTGCTTGGAGACGATTTTGCTTTTGAGACATGGAGGATGTTGGAAGTCAAGATTCCCAACAGATCAGCAGCAGCACAGAACTAGACCTTTGCGCTGGAGAAGGCTAGAAAGTCATCCACATGCACTCACAGCTTGAAGCCCTGGAGTCCGGGGAGAGGCGACAGGCATGAAAAACAAAAGAAGCAAGTCAAAGGCAGGAAGTTGTGAGAAACAGCCATACTCAAAGGGGAAGAAGAGATAGAAACCAGGTGACAGGTCAGATAGGAATACGGAAAAGCTGGGGAAGCCAGTGTGAAACAAGGAAGGGAAGACAAAGATGCAAGGCAAAAAGTTCCACCTCAGCAGGAGCTGCCAGACTGGCCTCTCACTCTCCAGGCTTGGCAGAGTCTACAGTTGGAGAAAGAGAAGTCAGCTACCCACTCCCTCCAGCCGCAGATAACCAGAGGTGCAGCTGTAACCTTGAATGAAGTTGAAAGTTTTGGCTATTACTCTGAATTAGACATCTTAATTACCTTTTAATCCTGAAGTAATGGTACTAGAAGACCTTTTATTACCTGAAGGTGAGCATAGCCATGCTCATCCAGGAGCTAGAGACCAATTAGCTCCACAGCACAAAGAAAGACAAAAATAAAATTGCTTCGTAATTACACCCTGAAGTCATACTTCTTCAACATCACTGTTACACGAAGATGGAGCTGCTGTGACCACCGCCTCTCCCTTAGCAAGCAGGATGTCCAACAGAACGTTCTCTGTTGTCTGGGAATTGCAGCTAATTTCCAAAGTCGAAAATAGTGCAGTGTGCCCCTGTTCTTAAAAGACCCCAGTAGCAGCCAGATATTTCCCTGGGGCTATGTGACTCTGCTGCCGTCAACCCATCACCTGCCTCTTGTGTGCATTTGTAAATGCACACGTTTACAATGCACACAGCTCCTGCAGTTGGAACAGGGAGTTGTTAGCTTCGTGAAGATCGCTGGAGTCTCTTCTCCCTCTTTTCTACTGTTCCTTTTATCTTGCTTTGTAACAAATCACTCCAGATGTAGTAGCTTAAAAACAGAAATTCCTGAGCTCTGTAGGTCAGAAACCCAGGCACAGCTCTCTGCTCAGGGTCTCACAGCTGAAATCAAGCTGTTGGTGGCTGTGATCTCATCTGATGCTCTGGGTTCTCTTAGCTCACTGGTTATGGTAGAACTCAGTTCCTTGCAGCTGTAGGACTGAGGTCCCTGTTTCCTTACTGACTGTCATATGGTTCGGAAGCCGGGAACCTCCCTCACGGTGTGGCCGCCCCCATCTTCAAAGCCAACAGCAGAGCCCCCATGTCCAGTCCCCCTCACACTTAGAGTCTGTTTCCAGGAGGAGCCAGGTCTTCTAAGCCTTCCCCAGTTAGGCCAGGCCCACTTCACTACTCTCCCTTTCTTAAAGGCAACTGCAGTAGAACATGACCTCATCGTGGGGATAAACCATCAGACCCACAGTCTTAAGGGAGGGATGCATGATGTACCCCCAGGGGCAGGAATCTCAGGGCTGTCTATCCTATAACACTGCCTCCAAAAAGCCAATCCTAGGTGGGCTCCCAAAGGATCCTTTGTGAAGTGTAAGGAAGAAGAGTTACTGGGGGGCTGTTTCTCCATTGGACAGTCTCTGCTGCAGCAGACTTGCTGAGCTGCCTTCTTGCTTTTCAGAGGGAACTGGCAGGGTGGCCGCTGGGCGGCAGTAGTGATGTTTGCCCCCGACGCTTTGGCATGGCTGGAGTGTGTGCGCCACCTGGGATCGCCACAGAATGCAGTGGGTTTTGAGCTGACTTCCCAGGACAGCATCCGGGAGCCCACTGGCCGTGGGGGGTGGGGGGAGAGGGGCTTCAGATGCAGGCAGAGGACATGGGGCCACACGAGGCTACCATGTCAGGAGGGCATCACCCTCCCCAGCACCCCCTTCCCAACCCTTGCCAGTACCCCCAATTCCTCCACACAGGGCTATCAACAGCCGGGAGAGAACAGCCACAGCCGCAAGTTAATCGAAATGTATTCTCCTTTCTCTAAGCCCACCTCCACCTTCATCTCAACCACACCTGTGAGAAGCAGAAGGTGAGAGAAATGAAAAGACCAGCCACACCCCATCGGGTCCCCCAGATGCTCCGCGTGCAGGGCTCTCAGGAAAAGTGACCTGAGCCCTAAAGCAGCTAATATACCACGTCTTCAAGTGGCCAGACTGCATTTTGGGAATTCCTGACAATACCTGTGAAACAACAGGTTTATCATTACGGGAAGGAAATGGAGAGTTGACAAATTGTTTTGGAAGGTCAGCTTTGCAGAAAAGAACAAAAAAAGCTTCATAAGTGTTGCTCACCAAGTTTGCAGCATTTAATAAACCAGTTACACTGTTGAACACTGGGAACTGTCAGCTTCAGGAGGGGACATGCTCAGTTCAGTGACCTGGGAGCAGGGGGAGAAATTCAGAGAGTGGCTTGACCACCAGGGTCCAGCTTTGGTGGATAACCTGGGAATTTCAGGAACGTGTGCATCCATAAGGGTGAGTGTGTGTGTATTCACACGTGAGTGGGGAGTGTGTGTGTGGAAAGAGAGTGTGCACATGAGGGCATGTGTGTGTTTGAGGCCATGTATGGGGCAATGTGTGTTTCTGGGTTGATGCTGATGGTACAAGGAGGCGCCTGACCCTAAGTGGAAGAGGAAAGAAATGGAGTAAGATGGACTCTAACAAGCACTGTACCATAAGCTCTAACTGGCAAAAGAAAAATAAGACTTTGAAAACACGGGAGGTGACAAAGCCAAGTTTACTGCAATGAGGATGCTCATTTAGGGACCGGCATCTTAATCCAAGGGGAAGACCCAATGTGATGTACTGTTGCTGAGTTTCCAGGGCTGCTAACTTGTTTTGCTCCCCAGCCATTTGTCTCTCTGTTAGTTTAATCATTTCCACAGCTGTTGTGTAATATAATCGTGAATGTACCACTGAGACAGTTTCTCCCAGCCAGTCCTGCTTCCACAGAAACTAATGGGAAGAGGCAGCACTGGGATCTCCACTGCAAACCTGCCAGAACTGGCGAACTGGGTCGCAGTGAACTTGCTGCCCAAGGGAAGGGCAAGCAGGCTGCCGTCTCCACCAAATGTGTCCTTAGTTTTCCCTTTCTTGCAGATAGCACATCTTTCCCTATTTCTGAAGAAATCCATCCCCTCCCTAGTTACCTGGCTCTTTAAGGAAAAAAAAAAAAGCAGGACCTGAAGAGTAAAGATAATCATTTAGGCACAAGTTGGGGCTTCCAAGGTGGCTCTAGTGGTAAAGGATGTAGCTGCCAATGCAGGAGACATGAGAGATGCGAGTTCAATCCCTGGGTCAGGAAGATCTCCTGGAGAAAGACATGACAACCTGCTCCACTATTCTTGCCTAGAAAATCCCATGGACAGAAGAGCCTGGTGGGCTATTGTCCACTGGGTCGCAAAGAATCAGACACAACTGACGTGACTTAGCACGCGCACACAGTTGTGCAACTGCTTTTGATTCCATAAAGAGCACAGCTTCTATTTCCTTCATCTTATGTCTCCCCGAAAGCATTTCACAATTCTTTCTTGTCCTCTGTTTTCCCAATTGGATGACTTCAGTATCATCTCAGAAAGGCTGCTGTGTCCCGAATACTGTGCCATTTATCGAGTTCAAGGGAATTGTGACCATCGGCAGCACCAGTCTTTACAGAGAATCCTGGAGAAACAAGTTGCTAACTTACAAAGGAAGTGATTTCTCCCAGAGTGTCCCTTCATCCAGGAACAAGAGTGAGCACAGTGTCATAGATTTTCAGGAGTCAGAGTGGAAACTCACCACCCATGCCGAACCCCCTGTCTTACTCCTAAGGAAACCAAGACCTGGAGAAGTTAGCTTCTTTGTGAACTAGTCACCAGGAGCAGAGCTGCAATCGGCTCTTAGCATGCCTCCGAGCTCCAGTCTCTGGTCCTGGCTCCCTGTGGCCCCCTAGATCTTGGCCTTCTTGATACTGAACATTTCCCCTAGTGTTGGCCCTGCAAAACATCCTTATTCCTAAGCAAAATGATTCCTACATTTTCTTTATTGGATATGTAATTTAGAACTAAGATTTATGAAGCTCCACTGGGAGCCAAGACCTGTGCTGTTTTGTGCACATTGACACATTGATAGAGGTATTTTCCAAGAGGCTGTAAAATGTAGGCTATTTGTGAATGGCATTAAAAAAAAAATCCATGGCAGAGAACATCTCTTCTCCTCCATATAACCACAGAAACTAGTCTACAGTTCACTAAAGAAAAAGGGACTTAAAGTGTCCTTAGCTACTGAATTAGATGACTGGTGAGTAAATGTGGTATAGGTATGTAGATGCATGTGCTGTGGCTTGTGCTACAAAAAGCTAAGTCAGAATGAAGTTGAAAGTCACAAAGGTGATGGAGGCTGGAAAACTCTAAAAGCAGAGACTTCAGACTGTCCACATGTCCCACTTCATATGCCCAATTAGCCATCAACAGGCAGGTCAGACTATGGGGTCAGCAAGAGGAGTGTCTTTCTCTTATCATAACACATGCCTATCTGCTGCTGCTAAGTTGCTTCAGTCGTGTCTGACTTCAGTCGTGCGACCCCATAGATGGCAGCCCACCAGGCTCCCCTGTCCCTGGGATTCTCCAGGCAAGAACACTGGAGTGGGTTGCCATTTCCTTCTCCAATGCATGAAAGTGAAAAGTGAAAGTGAAGTCGCTTAGTCATGACCAACTCTTAGCGACCCCATGGACTGCAGCCCACCAGGCTCCTCCGTCCATGGGATTTTCCAGGCAAGAGTACTGGAGTGGGGTGCCATTGTCTTCTCGGGCCTTTCTGCTACTGTTGCCTTTTTCTCTGTCACTTTGGCAAAACAGCTCACCCTGGTCTGTCTCTGAAAGAGGCTCAATGCTTATCTTCTTTCCCTGAAATTGAGGTTTCTCTACTTTCCAACTCTCATATATATGTGGGTGAGTTTGGTAAGTCTGGGGGTAGCTGCTGTCTCATCAGCGCACCCCAGACTTGCCCTCGCCCTCAAAGTGAGGAGAAATAAACCTCCAGAGCAATCCAGTACATCCCTGAAGGGGCTCCAAGGATGGAGAGAGTGTCCTGGGTGTACCATTGATTGGTATTTAAAGAAAACCAAAGATGAAGGAATGCTGACAGGGCCAAATGACATCAGCAAGAAGCAGAAGCCCCCTCCAGGAAGTGTTTATGTGGGTCTGAGATATCAAGATAGTCTTGATAAACTAGATAAACTCTCTAGTAGTAGAATTCCTGTTGCTGCTAAGTCGCTTCAGTCGTGTCCGACTCTGTGCAACCCCATAGACAGTAGCCCACCAGGCTCCCCCGTCCCTGGGATTCTCCAGGCAAGAACACTGGAGTGGGTTGCCATTTCCTTCTCCAATGCATGAAACTGAAAAGTGAAAGTGAAGTTGCTCAGTCATGTCCGAATCTTAGTGACCCCATGGACTGGACTGCAGCCTACCAGGCTCCTCCATCCATGGGATTTTCCAGGCAAGAGTACTGGAGTGGGGTGCCATTGCCTTCTCCAGGAGTAGAGTTAAGGTAGTCTAATTAAACTCATAGTCTGAAAGACATGGAAAGTACTTGGCAGAGAATTACTTAAGTGGGAAATGAATAAGGTTCAATCCTAGTGTTAAATGAGCCTTCTGAATTCAAAATCCAAAGACATGTCCTAAGTTGTGTTCTGAATTTCATGAGATTATATTCAAGGGTAAAGAGAGGCCTGGTGAAGTAAGTCAGAAAAAGAAAAACAAGTATCATATATTAATGCATATGTATATGTATATGGATGGGAAGGAGTCTCAAGAGGGAGGGGACACACATGTACACACAGCTGATTCACACTGCCGTAGAGCAGAAACTAACACAACACTGTAAAGCAATTATTTTCCAATTAAAAATAGAAAGTAAATTTTAAAAAGAGAGAAGCCAGGGCTCTCTCTGAGGAGAGCAGTGAGGATCGAGTGTCAGGAGCAGAAAGAGAGATCCCACCAGGCAAGTGTGGGGTCAGGTGCTGCCTTTATTTTAAATGTTGATGTTTTGCTCATTATGGAATTTTTCTTTCCCTTGAATTGTTTAAAATGAATTATTAACATATGATTTATCTTGATTGCTGAGTTACTTTGCACTCCCTAAGTTTAGTTGCCGATGAGTGTCTCACTTACCTCACTCCAGTATCATCCCCGGTAAGGGGCCTGGTACATACAAGTGACAGAAAAGTTACCAGCCATTATGTGTTGAGTTGTGTCCCCCTAAAAGATATTGAACTGTGGTGTTGGAGAAGACTCTTGAGAGTCCCTTGGGCAGCGAGGAGATCACACCAGTCAATCCTAAATGAAGTCAGCCCTGAATGTTCATTGGAAGGACTGATGCTGATCCATGGGGTCGCAAAGAGTCGGACACAGCTGAGCAGCTGAACAAAAAGATGCTCAAGTCCCAGCCTCTGGGATCTCAGAATGTGGCCTTATCTGGAAATAGGGTCATTAGAGATGTAGTTGGTTAGGATGTGGTCACTCTGGGGTAGACTGGACCCCTGATCTGGTGTGACTGATGTCCTTATAAAAATGGGAAATTCGGACAGAGACACATGTGAAGGACAAAACATGAAGGCAGAGGTAAGGGTGGGTCATGCACACGTGCAAAGATCGCTAGCAAAGAGGCAGAAGCTAAGAGAGAGGGAAGGAGCGGACTTACCTTGCAATCCTAAGAAGGAAATGGCACTGTGGACACAGTGATCTTGGACTTTTGGTCTCAGAACTGTGAGATGTTAAATTTCTGTAGCTTAAGCCACCCAGTTTGTGAAACTTTGTCACAGCAGCCCTAGCAGACTAATACATCATTCTGCATCTTACGGAGAGACAGCACCCCCATGTCAGTTGGTCAGAAGGGTCCTATTTCAACCGTGTAGTCAGGAAACCTGGATCATTGCTCAGCCCAAAGATGTAACTATCAAGTCAAATGCCGAGGCTGTGGGGAGGGTGGGCTGGTCGTAGGGAGGATGAGGCAGTTGGAATGGAGCTGTGATCACTGTCAGGGCACAGCGTTCTATAAAAATGGCGGCCCCAGGACGGTCAGAGGAAAGAGCCCTCTGAGGGCAGGTGTGTGGTTGAAGCGAGGGGAGGTGTAGGGCAGGAAGGCCACTGCGCATCCCCTCACAGGATGGCTGCTCATCATGGGAGGGAATTTACCCATCTGGGAAAAGCATCTCTGAGCTCCGCCTGCATCTGACCTCGAGACTTAACAAAGCCCCTACTGTGCGTGCTCAGCGCAGCACCAGTTTCTGTGTCAGAGAGAGTGTGTATAAGAACGAGGGTTCCTATGAGAATGTAAGAATGCTACCGAGCCCACACTCGCTCTGCTCGTCACGCGACCAGCCAGTAAATCAGGTGAGTTGTTGGGGCAAGGAATGGCGATTCTTTTTTTCAGCTGCATCAGGTCTTAGTTGTGGCTCTTGGAATTTTTAGTTGCAGCATGTGGGGGTCTAGTTCCCT